TGCCTGCCTGTTGCTGGCTACTGTGCCGGAAGAGGGTCATTCGTTATTGAGTGCCTACTGTGTATATGATTATGTGGCGAACAGAGCCCCTGTGCTCAGTTTATTATTTCTTATTCCTAGTTTGTTTTTCTTTTTCAAGTAAAGAATAGGTGTTGGATTTCTGTCTTCTCATCATTAAAGATAATCACATAGTGTATGAAGGCCATTCAAGATGGCTGCTGTCTTGCTCTCTCTACATCTGCTTGATGAGTCCCTGCTTCACTCACATGACTATCCAATCCTCTTCATTATAGGGCTTAATCAGTAACTGCCTCCATGCTTGCCCCCTGCCCCAGCCGCTCGTTTCCCGGGTAACTGACGAACCAACCTGATGTCAATTCCCCCTATAAATGGTAGCCTCCTTCTACCCCGGGTAGTGAAGGTTGTTGCCGCGCACGGTGAGGTATTGCTCCAGGACCTGGCTTTGGACTAGTAAGATCCTTTTCTCCACTAAACCGCTGATGTCTCTGTCACTGTTTCGGGGCTCGTTCTTCAGTCTTGAGGCTGGGCTATCAATAAGGCTTGCAGGCCTTCGAGGCGCAGCCCAATAATTGCTGAGCCAGCCAGGAGGCCGAGGAAACTCCCGTGAATGCAGAGATGTCGGGAAATACGGGTGAGGAACGGAAAGTTGCGGGGCGGGGGGGCAGGAATCGCGAGGTGGCTGTCCACTAGCCATGTGGGGCCCTGTGGCAGCTGACTGCCATGAGAGATGCCGCCTTCTTCCATTATACTGATGATAGCCTGTTATCCTCAGAGTCTCTTTCCAATTTAAAAGTAGCAGCCCCGGGCTTCCGTGGTGGCGCAGTGGTTGAGAGTCCGCCTGCCGACGCAGGGGACACAGGTTTGTGCCCCGGTCCGGGAAGATCCCACATGCCGCGGAGCGGCTGGGCCCGTGAGCCATAGCCGCTGAGCCTAGGCGTCCGGAGCCTGTGCTCCGCAACGGGAGAGGCCACAACAGTGAGATGCCCACGTACCGCAAAAAAAAAAAAAAACCCAGCCCCGCACTCATAGCTCATCTGACTGCACTGGGCTGGCTGGTGAACACAGACAAAACTCAAGGACCTGGAAAATCTAGAATATATAAGCATACCCCAACTCACCATCCCTAAACAATTACAGACACAGGCTTTAGGGATACTAACTCAGGGGCTGGCTTGTGAATTGGACGTGGCCAGTTACCTGGGAGGATTTGGTTGGGGCCTGTGGCAACGGCAAACTAATACGAGTACCCATGAGCTTCTGGTCCCAGCTGCGGAAGGGGGCGGAGCAACCATATAGTGTCATGGAACAGCCACGTGCAGTCTACAGTGCATTACAGTAGGTGGAAGACGCTACAAAAGGCCTACCCGAGTCATCGAGCAATGCACAAAACCATGATTTGGGGTCTAGAACAGCTGCTTGTGACATACAGGACCCTCGTGGACATTGATAGTGACCAAGGAATCCATTTTGCCAGCTATGAAGTTCAGGAATGGGCTGATAGAAATGACACACTGGCATTTTCACCTGCCCTACAACCTCACTGCTGCTGGCTAATTGAAAGGCTGAATGGACTACTTAACAACTGAGATGGGAAACCAGCTCTCTCAATGCATGGGCCAGGAGGCTAACTCAAGCCCTACAAACTATAACTGAACATCCCAGGATCAGTGGTCCCAGTGTCTACGTCACGTTCACCCAGAGGTAACTAGTCAACACCATCTGAGTTCAGCTGTTGACCACAGAAGGACAATAACTTGTTTTTGCCCTTATAGGATCTAACCCTAAGGGGAACACATTATAAAATGGCCCTGGAACTGACAGGAAGTCCCAGGTGGTCTGGGTTTGCCGCCCCATTGGGGAATGCGATTAGAAAGGGACTTAGCGATTTCACCTGTCTCCTACCCAGCCCCACCGAAGACTGCTGAGGTAATCAATCTGGGCCCCTACTGGAGAAAGGCAGCGTTATATTAACCCTGTGGTCGGTTGTTACACCACCTCTCCAATACTAGGCATGGCTGTGGGGACTGAGGGTGGACAGGTGATGTGGTCCTGCAGGCCAGTACAAAACCCACGTTATCTCAGGATGCTATTATTGCTTATGTTTTGCTTAATGGTCATGACTTCCCCTGTATTGTGCCTGTTAAACATCTTATATATTTTGTCCCTTGCCTGAGGGGAGGGAATCTGTTCCAGGGCTGGGTGGCAACAGTGGGCTTGCCGCAAAATGAGTCTGATTGCTGGGTCTACGGTGAGATGCCGTTGTCCTCCTCCTCTGGACTTCCATGGTAAATGGACCTGCTAAGTGCCTTGCTTTCTCTTGCTACTCTTTAGCTGCTGCTGTCTGTACTGCATTTGTGGTATCTGGTTGCAGTGCCCCTCGACATACCTAACCTCAGGGACACTGCAGAAGAGGGGTGGACCAAGATTGTAAGGGTCGTGCAGGGTATGTAAGGGTAGAGGGTATGGTCAGGCCATTCAAGATGGCTTTCCTCTTGCTTGATTAGTCCCTGCTTCACTCACATGACTATCCAATCCTCCTAGTTATAGGGCTTCATCAATTACCGCCTTTGTGCTTGCCCCCTGCCCTAGCCGCTAGTTTCCCTGGTAACTCATGAGCCAACCTGACATCAATTTCCCCTATAAGTGGTAGCCTTCTACCCCGAGTAGAGAAGGTTGTTGCCGAGCACGGTGAGGTGTCGCTCCAGGACCTTTCTTCGGACTAGGAAGATCCCTCTGTCCACTAAACTGTTGATGTTTCTAGGTTCTTTCTTCAGTTTTGAGGCTGGGCAACTACAGGGCTTGCAGGCCTGTAAGGTGCAGCCCAACATATAGCTTCACTGAATTTAAAAAAAGAACTTTATTTTGCCCTCATCTGTCAACTTGCCGAGGGTAATTATTGGGAATAGAATTCTAGTTTGACACCGACATTTATCTGCCTTTCAATACTGCCATAGGCAAATCAACGGTCAGTCTAGTTGCTGTTACCTTGTAGGTAACACTTTTCTGTGTGGCTGCTTTTATGGTATTTGAGTATGTGCACTCTTGCCTATGTTGTGTCTAGATGGGGGTTTAATTTCATTTTTCCTATTTGGGATCCATTAGGCTTCCTGAATCTGAAGACGGATAGGCTGCATATGCTCTAGAAATGTCTCGGCTGTTAACTTCTCTAATACTACACCTACCCCACTGCCTCTTACCCCCAGGAATTTCAATGAACGGCATATTATACCTTCTTATTCTTCCATGTCTTACACTCATTCATACTTTCCACCTGTCTGTGTTGTATTCTATGTAGTTTCTTCAGACCTTTCTTTGGGTTAACTCATTTTCAGCTGTGCCCAATCTGTTTGATGTGAGTGTACTGGACTTCGGATTCCATTACCACATCTCTTTTTCCTACAAGTTATATTTGGTTCCTTTTCCAATCTGCCTAGCGTATTCTAAAAGTTTCTTGCCCCTTTGTCAAACTTTCAGTACTCTTTTTTTTATTATTATTATTTTTTAGGAGTTTATTAACTTATTGATTTTTGCTGTGTTGGGTCTTCGTTTCTCTGCCAGGGCTATCTCTAGTTGTGGCAAGCAGGGGCCACTCTTCATCACGGTGCGTAGGCCTCTCACCATCGCGGCCTCTCTTGTTGCGGAGCACAGGCTCCAGATGCACAGGCTCAGTAGTTGTGGCTCACAGGCCTAGTTGCTCCGTGGCATGTGGGATCCTCCCAGACCAGGGCTCAAACCCGTGTCCCCTGCATTAGCAGGCAGATTCTCAACCACTGCACCACCAGGGAAGCCCCCTCAGTACTCTTATTTTTCTAGCACACTTGTATATTCTGTATCTGATAACTCTGGTATCTGCCCTATTTGACCAATTGTTTTAAGCTGAACCTGGCTCATGGTGACTTTCTTTTACTTTCAGTGAACACATGCTCTTAGGAACATTTGTGGGAATTCTTTAAAGGCTGGATAAAAGTATCCAAACATGCACTTGTTTCTGCTAGGTGCTAGAAGGCTACCTCCTTAGTGACATCTTAAATAATTGCCTTGGGTTTTTTGAGGACCACACAGGTAATCTGAATTCTGACCCCACACCTA